AGTAGTAGTAGTAGTAGTAGTAGTAGTAGTAGTAGTAGTAGTAGTAGTAGTAGTAGCAGTAGTAGTAGTAGTAGTAGTAGTAGTAGGTCGTAGTAGGTAGTAGTAGGTAGTGTAGTAGTAGTGTAGTAGTAGTGTAGTAGTAGTAGTAGTAGTAGTAGTAGTAGTAGTAGTAGTAGTAGTAGTAGTAGTAGTAGTAGTAGTAGTAGCAATAGGTAGGTAGGTAGGTTGGTAGGTAGGTAGGTAGGTCGGTAGGTATGTAGGTAGGTAAGTAAGTAGGTAGGTAGGTAGGTAGGTAGGTAGGTAGGTAGGTAGGTAGGTAGTATAGGTAGTAGTAGAGTAGTAGTTAGTAGTCGTTGTAGTCGTAGTCGTAGTAGTTCGTAGTTCGTAGTAGGCGTAGTAGTCGTCGTAGTTAGTCAGTTAGTTAGTAGTCGTAGTTGTTTAGTAGTAGTAGTCGTTTAGTAGTTCGTAGTAGTCCGTTAGTAGTCGTAGTAGCGTAGTTGTTCCAAGTTTTTTAGTAGGTCGTCAGTAGTAGTGTAGTTAGTAGTTTTTGTAGGAGTAGTAGTAGTTAGTAGGAGTAGGAGTTGGCAGTGGAGTAGTAGCAGCAGCAAGCAGCAGCAAGCAGCCAGTAGTCGTAGTCGTAGTCGTAGTCGTAGTCGTAGTCGTAGTCGTAGTCGTAGTCGTAGTCGTAGTCGTAGTCGTAGTCGTAGTCGTAGTCGTAGTCGTAGTCGTAGTCGTAGTCGTAGTCGTAGTCGTAGTCGTAGTCGTAGTCGTAGTCGTAGTAGTAGTAGTAGTAGTAGTAGTAGTAGTAGTAGTAGTAGTAGTAGTAGTAGTAGTAGTCGTAGTAGTAGTAGGACGAGGAGGAGGAGGAGGAGGAGGAGGAGGAGGAGGAGGTGGCGATGTATCGCCGACTCCAGGTCGAGGCCTCCCCCTGAGCTTGTCCCCCACTACCGTTGCCCTTCAGGCGATGGGCGTCATGCCCGCCTCGCGGCCACAAGGGCCCGTGGTGGTCAGTGCTCTCGTGGACGAAACACATCTCTGTACGGTTAGGGCCCATGCCAAGATGCATCCTGCTTGCCTCCAGGATGCCCTGGGCTTCTTGGGTTTCGATGGTCCTGCTGTGGAGAGCGCGACGTTCCAACGCCAAAAATTGATGAACGTCCTGGGGTCTCAGGGTTGGGTCTCTTTTGGAAGGTCTCTTGTGGACGGGCCTCCACCGTACCGCGGGATCTTGTCGACGCCGATCTTGGTCATGGTCCCTGCTGGCCGTCCCCCTGCCCCACGGTTGGAAGTTTCTGGGGCACCGACGTCGCAATGTCAGAGGGTGAGGAGCTAGGAGAAAGTTCAAGATCAACGCTTGCACAAGGCTCAAGTTCAACGTGGCCAACATGCCGAAGCTCGATCGGACAAGTGCCCCGTCTGTGTCCCCCATCAACCTACAATCGGCTGGCGCTTGGACGAGGACAAATCAATGCCAGAGCGCTCCAGGACGCTCTCAGCGTTCCGGAACGCTCTGAAGGCCTCGGCGACCGAGACATCGTCAAGAGCCGCTGGATCTCAGAGAATCTCGATCTATCCCCACCCGAAGTGTCAGCAGCGATCCGCGATCCCGGGGGGGAAGTGAAGAAGGAGAAGGCCTTCTTAGCAGGCTCGGATGTCCCTGGGCCTCCTGAGAGGTGTTCTTAGCCGTCCCCGAAGGCACGGACCATCTTTCAGAAGGCGCGAGGGCTTCTGAGAAGCCCCCCCGGGGGAATGGGGGCCGCCAGCCCCTGGCCTTCTGAGAGGGCCGCCTCCTGCTCATTTCCCCCCCCCTCACTCGCCGCCGGAGTTGATCCTCGTCCTGGCTTCGTCCTATCCTCAGCCTGAGGGGACACGACCTGGCTTCGTCCTATCCTCGTCCTATCCTCGTCCTGGCTTCGTCCTATCCTCGTCCTGGCTTCGTCCTGGCTTCGAGGACCTCAGGGGCAACGATACGGGGGGGATAGGCACAGTGGGGGATGCATCGACCCCGGATCGCCCATGGATCGCCGGTGGGGGCCCGACAGCCCCAACCTGCACAGGAAGGTGCGGATTCACCACCGGTGGCATCGCCGATCTATCAGCGATGTCTCTCCGATTCCAGGTCGATGCCAAACATTGCCCAGACGTCTAAGACATGTCTTGAACATGTCTCAAACGTTGGTTTACATGTTTTGAGCCTGTTTAGAACAGCTTCCGACATCTCGAACACACTTCTAATCCAATGATAGGACTGTTCGGGTGTCCACTGTCATGGCATCCCCCCCTGTGCCAGTCCCCTCCTGTCGTTGCCCCTCATATACAGCCCCAGGGTCCCGCTGCCTCTCCCCTCCGCCCCCTTGGCGGGGTGTGTGGGCGCCTCCGCGCGCCCGAGGAGGAGGAGGGGGAGGAGGAGAAGGAGGAGGAGGAGGAGGAGGAGGAGGGGCCCCATGGCGCGGGCGCCTTCTCTCTCTCTCTCTCCCCCTCTCGTGGTGCTCGAGGGGGCCCGTGCCCGCTCCGCGACATCGGCCCCCGGCCCCGCGGGGGGTCCTTTTGCCCTCCGCGGCGTCGAGGATCGGAGGTCGATAACAATTGGGGGGGGGAGGGGCGACGTGGACGTTCTGTGCCCCAGAGGGGCCCTCAAAAGGGCCCTCTGGGACCCAAATGGGCACGACACGTGCACGTTTCTCCCCCCCTCCCCTTCTTTTCGCCCTTCCTTTAGTTCACGCCCGACCCCTCGTTCACGGGACCTGACCGACACTGCCCGAACTACCCCCCCATCCAGCCTAGGAGGAGGAAGCGGCACCCATGATCCGCCACCCTTCTCTCGTTTTCGCCCGTTCGGGCCTCCTGGGAGGCCCTTGTCGCCACCGCCAGATTCGCCTCGACATCCTGGTCAGAGCGCACCCCGGGAGAGGCCCGGGGAGATGCGGTATCGGTGCCCTTTGGCCTGGCTTCCCCACATCTGCCCGCCTCCGCCCCCCCCCCTGTCCCGCCTCCCGCTCCGGTCGGCGCATGGCCAGAAAAAAAAAACATCACCACTGCGGTCGGACCGAGGTAGAAGGTCGAGGTCGGTTCGGGGAGGGTGCCCTCCTGTCCTTCGTGATTTTTGTGGACGGTCTTGGGGCATCCTGGGGGAAAGTCGCCGGGTTCTCGAATGACGTTCTTCTTTTCTGGGTCCGGACGTACAGTGAGGGCCCATGCCAAGATACACCCTGCTTGCCTCCAGGGTGCCCAGGGTTTCTTCGGTTTCGATGGTTTTGCAATGGAAAGCGCGACACTCCCAAGCTAAATCGATGGACGTCCTGGGGTCTCAGGGTTGGGTTTCTTGCGAAACGTTTCTTGTGGTCGGGGACCTACTGAAGGGCAACAGGGTGGCCGCAGACGGGGTGGGACGGGACGCGCTCCGGCGCAGAAGCGGAGGGACGGTGCCAGGGCTAGGGTGCTGGGTTTCGGGTGTCAGGGAGCCGAAGTTGACCTAGGTCTCCCAGATGGGGTCGGGATAGATGGGGTCGGAGGATGGCGCCGCATCGCCGATGCATGGCCGATGAGGATTATGGAACCTGATTTCCACAGGCCGACGTCGCCGATGCATCGCCGATGCAACGCCGATGCATTGGCGATGCGGCGCGATCCTCCGACCACATCTACTCGGACCCCATCTAGGAGGCCTCTAGTTGTAAGGCGGGCGTGTCCCTCCACAGGAGGAAAATAGTCAAAAGATAGCCTGGGCACGATTTGTTCATCATTTTTTAAAGTCAATGTTTGAGCATTCTTGAGACTATTTTGACTTGTTCGCCCGAAGTCTGCCGATAGGGGGACATGCACGACCGAACTCTAGTTCGGATCAGGGCAGTTGGCGGTGGGGTGCTCGGAGAAGGGGGCTCAGGGGAGGCTCGAAAGAGGCTGTTTGACCACACCCTGCTGGGTGGAGCAGGCACTTCGCCCTCTGCCGTCGGTGGTTGTGCACGTCGGGGCGCCTGGTCGGTTGTCGGGCCGTCCGCAGGGGCGCGACGTTGAGCGCGGTTCGCGGTCTCGGCGTGCGAGGGATCTCATCAAAGGAGTGGCTCGAGAGCGTGAGTAGAATCGGATACTGGACCACACGCATGGTGGCGGGCTGTCTTTCACTCCCAGGGCTCTCTGAGGGTCGGGGACGACGTCGGGGTGGTGTGGCGCATACGTTTCTCCGTTTCCTGGGGAAACAACGGGACATGTATGCACCAGGATCCCGTATACACCAGGACGCGCTTTCTTGTGCAAGTGGTAGTGCAGGACCGGAAAAGGCGTCGGTGTATACACCGGGCGTGGATAGACCTCCTACCCTGACACGTCGATTAGTGAATTACCCGTTTTCGGTTCGCGAGAGGGCGTCGCGGCCGTCATTTTTGCGGGTCCAGGTCCGTCGGTTTCGGTCCCAGGCCGTTTTCACTAAGGGGAGGTTTACTAAAGGGAGGTTTATCCACCGCCGAATACAGTGTTCGGTCCCCACACAGAAGCGGGCCGCGCCCTTCGTATGGCGCGAAGTGCGAAGTCAGGTGTCCCAGAAAGAGCCTGGGCCGCCCTCCCTCGGCGCGAGCCTGAAGCGCGAATAATTGCTCCTTCTCTCCTCCTTCGGTCGCCCTCCCTGTCTCCTTCCATCTTCTTGCGTCGTGGCGTAAATCGCATCAAGGGCATCCCCACTGTCATTGCTTTTCCGCCAGCGCAGTTACTATGCCTAGCCGCCGGCGCAAAAACAAACGTTTCGCCCCCCGCCCCCCCCTGCGCAAGATCTCCAGCCTCTGGTCTGGGCTGTGGCTAGTGGTGTGGCTGCGTGGTCGCGCGGGTCCGTGTCACGGACGGCTCGGACGGCTCGGGGCAATACGGTCGGGGCGAGGTATAGGATCGAGGTCGGCTCGTGGAGGGTACCGTAATGTTATTCGTGCTTGCTGGTTGTTCTTGTGCATCCTGGGGGAGGGCACCTTCGAGTGATCGTGATCTTATGGCTTGCGGTGTTTTGGCCCGCGGAGGGTCTCGTGTTCTTAAAGCGTGTTCTTGAAGCCTAAGTCCGGCCGTGTGACAAGTCGTTTCTGGCGATGGCCGAAAACATGGTCCGTGTGGCGCGGGGATGAATGCCACTTCCCACCAAACCACCCCAACCCAACCCGAAACCCTCAATGTACCCTCTATTTTCAGTGGGGGGGGGGCGGGGAAGGAACATGGAGAAGACACATGTGGAGCCCGAACCCCAACCCAAGATGTGGCTCTTCGGGTTGGGTTGGGGTGGTCTGGTAGGTAGCCAGAATGGGTCCTGCGCGTGCCCACTCGGCGCCCTCCCTTCTGGGCCATCCTCCCGTGCGGTGCCGGCTCTGGTCCTCCTCTCGCTTGGCAGTTCTCGCGGGTGTGCAGGAGCTTCCGCCCCTCGACCCCGACTGGCTCTACGTCCGCACGGCCTCCATGGTGAGGAAGATCTACATTCGCGGCGGGCGGCGGGTTACAGTGGCGGCCCATGCCAAGAAACACCCTGCTTGCCTCCAGGGTGCCCTGGACTTCTTGGGTTTCGATTGTTTTGCGACGGAAAGCGTGACCTTCCCACACCAAACATCCATGGATGTCTTGGTGTCTCAGGGTTGGGTTTCTTGTGGTTGTGGAAGGTTTCTTGTGGACTGGCCTCCACTGTATGAACACTTCTCGCCCTTTCTGCCAGCGCTCGTTTTGAACGTCGACAGAGGAGGAAAAGGATGGCGACGATGATCAGGAGGAGGAGCAGGGCAGAGATGTACTGAAGGGAGCGTGGGAGATGAGGCGCAGGAGGGGAGATGATGTGAAGCATGAACAGGAAGGCGGTGAGCAAGCCCACTGGCATCGGCATGTCAGCCCTGCGTACCGAGCGGAGCTCCCTCGGGTGCCTTTCCGAGTGCATGCTGATCATTCTGTGGATGGTCGAGCGCTGACGCGCACGACCATGGCACAGACGAACGCGCACGACGGCAGACGCACGGTAACACAGGCACTACCGAGTCTGCGCGAAGAAGCAGTGCACAAAGTTGCACCGCATTGCCTTCCTCCTCAGTTCGTTGCTTCCTGTTGAGAGCCCTCCTCCTTCTCCTCCTCCGCCCCCTCCTCCTTCTGCTGCTCCTCCTCCTCCTCCTGCTGCTCCTTCTCCTCCTCCTCCTCCTCCTCCTCCTCCTCCTCCTCCTCCTCCTCCTCCTCCTCCTCCCCCTCCCCCTCCCCCTCCCCCTCCTCCTCCTCTTCCCCCTTTTTTCTCTTGGATGGACGAGGATTGAGGAGGAGAGGAGGATAATGACGAGGGAGCGACGCTGCTTTTCTTCGCCCTGCCCCTTGGATCGTTGCTCTTGGTAGCTCCTGGCAGAAGCGCTCCGTGCAACAGAAGCGGAATCGGCGCTGCCCTTTCCGCCCTGGTAGATGGGGTGGTGTCGTTTGTCTTCTGGTCCATCCCCCAGTCAGCCGACGTCGTGTTTTTTTTCGCCACGCGTGGACTCTTTCGCAGGCACCGGCAGTTTTTCCCGAGCAGTTTTCTGCGACGGCACGGAAAAGGCTCAGCGGGGGCACCCCGAGGCCGCCAGTTGCAGGAGCCCTCCGTCGCGACTTTGCCACAGCGCGGGGACGCCTGGGATCCAGATCCCCTCGGGCAATGAAGAAATCATGAGCGGAGGTTTTTCCGCGTTTTCGGCCTCCGGGGGCCCTCGCCGGGCCTCGGGGCCGTCAGAGGGCGACTCAGGATGAACAGCCGGTCCCTGGGGAAGGGGTCGAGACTTCTGAGGGTCGACGCGGTGACGAAATCACGACGTCAGGGGTCTGGGCTTCGCGTTCCGCGAGCGCTCCTCCGCCCGCCGGAGCGCCCGACCGCCGCGGCCGCGACGTGGCACACCCGGGGGCGCGCGAGCGAGCGCGCGGCGAGCGGGAGCAGGCGGCGGCAACCGAGCCATCGGCGAAGCCGCGGGCAGGCGGCAGCCAGCGGAAGGGGAGAGAGCACTCTCCCCGAAGCCCTCGGTTCGTGGGCGGGGACAACATTCCGCGGCGAGCCGCGGGGGGGGGGGAAGCGCGAGGGGGCGGGCCCTCGCGGAAGGAGCGGGCGTCCCCCAGCCTTCCGAGAAGTGTTCTGGGCCTTTCCCGGACGCACGGGAACAACAACTCTCAGAAGGCGCGAGGCCTCTGAGAAGTCCCGCCGCTTTCGGAGAAGGCCTCCTCCTTCTCACTTCCCCCCTCGCTCGCGGCCGAACACACACACACACACACACTCACATTCACATTCACATTCACATTGACATTCACATCCACATTCACATTCACACTCACACTCACACTCACACTCACACTCACACTCGCACTCACACTCACACTCACACTCACACTCACACTCACACTCACACACTCACACTCACACTCACACTCACACACACAACACACAACACACAACACACAACACACACAACACACAAGCACAACACGCACTACACACAACACACAACACACAACACACAGCACACAAGCACAACACGCACAACACACAACACACAACACACACACAACACACAACACTCACACACCCGTATCTGCGGCCTCGCGGGGTAGGCCTCGTGGCCGCGACCCCGGGTGCAGGAGGCGTTTTTGGGGAATTCTTGGGCGATAGCGGGCGTTACCGGGGGGGGAGGGGAGGGGGCCGGTAACGTCACGTTTCGTGCCAGCGCTGTCTGAGAAAGCCTGACAACAACCAGAGACAGTTCGGATAGCAGATGAGTGTGGGGATCTTCAACTGCATAGCGCGCATACCGATCGGGATCTGGCACGGCAGAACGCCTCCTCTCTCTTTCTTCTCCTCCTCTTCCCAAGACAGAAGAAAAGGGAGAAGACAGTTTGGAGGAAGGGGGGGCGAGGCAGGCGGGGCCAGGCACAACCGACCTGTTTGATTACACTTCTGTTGTCGACTCGTGCTCTTTCACGTACAAGCCACGTTGTGCTATCCCATAATATGTGGTGCGCACGCTGAGTGCACTCAAAGTAGGGCAATCTACTCGGCGCAATCCATGCGGTGCAATCAATGTGGTGCAATCGACGTGGAGCAAAACATGAAGCGCAAAATTTGTGGTGCAACAGCCTGCTCCTGGGCCGAGACGGGAAATTGCCTCGTCGTCGTCTTCGAACCCGATAAACGAGACATTTGTTACCCAGCCATCCTGTGGTGTTGGGTCCTCGTTTTGAAGAGACAGCGCCCCGCGCCACTCCTCCTCCTCCTCCTCCTCCTCCTCCTCCTCCTCCTCCTCCTCCTCCTCCTCCTCCTCCCGCTGCCCCCTCTCGCTCCTCCCTCCTCCCATCGACGGCGTCATGATCATCGTCACCATCAGCATCATCCCACCCATTTCGGCACACCCCTCACACGGTTCGTGGCCCCATAGGGAGCTCCACCGAAGGCTCCAGTGGCAGGGTCCGCATGCGTCAACGCCACCCAGGGCAGCGTTTCGTGGCCCTACAGGGAGCTCCACCGAAGGCTCCAGAGGCAGGGTCCACATGCGTCAACGACACCCGGGACAGCGTTTCGAGGCACCATAGGGAGCTCCACCGAAGGCTCCAGTGGCAGGGTCCGCATGCGTCAACGACACCCAGGATAGCGCTTCGTGGCCCCATAGGGAGTTCCACCGAAGGCTCCCGTGGCAGGGCCCGTATGCGTCAACGCCACCCAGGAAAGCGTTTCGTGGTCCCATAGGGAGCTCCACCGAAGGCTCCAGTGGCATGGTTTGCATGCGCCTCCCCCGCCCAGGGCAGCGTGTCGTGGCCCCATAGGGAGCTCCACCGAAGGCTCCCGTGGCAGCGTCCGCATGCGTCAACCCACCCAGGACAGCGTTTGTTGGCCCCATAGGGAGCTCCACCGAAGGCTCCAGTGGCAGGGACCGTATGCGTCAACGCCACCCAGGACAGCATTTCGTGGCCCCATAGGGAGCTCCACTGAATGGTTCAGTGGCAGGGTCCGCATGCGCCAACGCCACCCAGGAAAGCGTTTCGTGGCCCCATAGGGAGCTCCACCGAAGGCGGCCGTGGCGCAGTTCGCATGCGCCTCCCCCACCCAGGACAGCGATTCGTGGCTCCATAGGGAGCTCCACCGAAGGCCCCAGTGGCACCGTTCGCATCCGTTCCCTCACCTATCACAGCGTTTCGTGGCCCCACGGGGAGCCCCACCGAAGGCCCCAATGGCACCGTTCGCATGCGTCTCCCCCGCCCAGGACAACGTCTTGTGGCCCCATAGGGAGCTCGATTTCGGCGCACCCCTCGCACGCTTCGTGGCCCCATAGGGAGCTCCACCGCACTCGCAGCTGCGTACGGTTGGGTCCTTCGCCAGGCTAATGTCATACCAGGATGCTGTTTAAACATGACGTGGCCAGCCTGGGCGAGAGCGGGATACATATGTGGCTGCATGTCTAGGCTCAGGGCCCCGTGTGGCTAAGTGCGCCAGCCATGCGCACGTGTATCCAGCAACTGGCCTGCGCATATCTCGCATGCGATTCCAGCCGCGTGTGTTTCCAGCTTCCTGGATTGCTTGATACACCCAGCACGAGAGTCTCGATCGTGATTCGATGACAATCAGAAACGAGGATACAGTGCGTTGAGTTGGTAGTGGCGCGCGCGTGTTCATGGGCTTGCGCCATTCCGTGCGCCCCGCCGTGCTCCAGCGATGCGGTGCGCACGTTTGTGGTTCAATGGGCCACTGCGCAGCGCAACTGAGGAGTGGCATGACGACACGAGGAGGAGCATGAGGAAAATTATCATCGCCCACCACACTACCTCAACCCAACCCGGAGTTCCCGAATTGCCCTTCATTTCCAGTGTGGGAGGTTCGGGCAACATGGAAACACACTTGAAGCCCATACCCCCCCAACCCGAACTTCGGGCCTTCGGATTGGGTTGGGGTGGTGTGTCAGGTAGAGGAAGGGGGGAGGGACGACGACAACGACGAGGCCCTCCCAGCAGGGCTCATTTCGATTCCTCCGATTCGATCCGATTCGACTTCGATGGCTGCCGATTCCGATTCGATTCGACTCGGGATGCCGATCTGGATTCCGATTTTCCCAACGGAGGCCTGCCAGCCTACCGATTTCTGCCGATTCGACTTCTCCCGACTCGGCTGCCGATCTCCGCCGATCCGATACACTTCGATCGCCGATCCGACTTATCGATTCGACTCTGGGCATTCCTGCCACCGGACCCAGGAGCCCCTCAGGCCGATGGGAGGAGGAGGAGGAGGAGGAGGAGGAGGAGGAGGAGGAGGAGGAGAAGGAGGAGAGCGTAGGAGGAGGGCGGAGGAGGAGGAGGAGGGCGGAGGAGGAGGAGGAGGAGGACGAGGAGGAGGAGGAGGAGGAGGGAGGAGGAGGAGGAGCAGGTGGGAGGAGGAGAAGGAAGAGGATGAGGAGGATGAGGAGGAGGAGGAGGACCAGTGTAGATCCAAGAGTCATCAAAGATGTTGGAGTACACCCTCCCTCCTTGCTACGATGGTTCATTTCCATTGATGGAACTGCCTCGTTGGAAGACCCCCGTTTGAAGACCCTGAATTATGCCAAAACATTGTTTTCGGGATTCCAACGCCACGGATCAACCTGACTGTTGCGTCTTGACGATCCTGAACCGTGCCAGAACGCCATTCCCAGGATTTCAACACAGAGAACCAACGTAACTGTTGTACCCGCATAATCCTGAATTCTTCCAAAACGCAATGTCTGGTACGCTGATGATGGAAATCCGTGAAACTCTTGAAACTTGTGTAAACGAGTGTGCGCGGCGCTAAGGTGAGAGCCATATTTTGAAAAGGAACCGCCCTCAATCCGTGAACCTCTTGCAAATGTTGAAAGCGAATGTGCGCGGCGCTGGGGCGAGAGCCATGTTTCGAAGACCACCCGCCCTCAATCCGTGAAATTCTTGCAACGAACGTGCGCCGCGCTAGGGCGAGAGCCACATGTTGAAAACCACCCGCCTTCAATCCGTAAAACTCTTGCAACTTTTTAACCGGATGTGGTCCGCGCTAAGGCGAGAGCCGCATGTTGAAAACCACCCGCCCTCCATCTGTGAAACAGTTGCCAATTTTTAAGCTTCAGAGTCATATATGTTGCGGAAGTCTCAGGCGAAACGCCCGGCCCGCCCAAAAAATCGGCCTCGGTGTGCGACAGGGAGAAATTAGTTGTAAGGAAAAGGAATGGAGGAGGAGGAAGAGGAGGAGGAGGAGGAGGAGGAGGGGGAAGGGGAGGGGCAGGGGAAGGGGGAGGGGGAGGAGGAGGGGGGGGGAGGGGGAGTGGGAGGGGGAGGAGGACGGAATACGAATAGCAACATGACGATGTCAACAAGAGAGCACTAACCTCCCGATGCTCCGCCGCGCAGCCCGTTCAGCTGCGCTTCGAGGCTTGGGGAACACTCCTCGATGAAAGCGGTCAAGATAAGACCGCCTAGTATCATTGAGGGAATCGGCACCAAGACTCTCCTGCCTGAGCCCAGCTTGCAAGATGGCAGAGAAGAAACACCCGCACGCCCCGCAGATCCAGACCCTGAGTGAATGATGAAACAGCATACGATGAGATTCGTGAGCCCACCCCCCAGCGAGGTTCAGTTTCCTTTCGGCCCCCTGGAGATGACTGGACCAACATGTACCAGAGGCGCACAAGGAGACGCTAGCCACTCTTGGATGGTGGGTTTCGTGCCACTGCTATGGCACGTGGTACACTTGAAGCCACAGTCGCTCAAAGTGTGAGACGTCTGAAAGCTAGCTACGTTCGCTGGGGAGGGCGGCGGCGGAGCCTTGGCAGACGGGGCACGATCGCCAGAGCCGGGCTCGGCTATCTTCGCAGTCTCACGCTCAGCAACCGTGGCCTCCAGACTCGCCCTGAGGAGGAGGAAGAGGAGCAGGAGGAGGGAGGAGGAGGAGCAGGAGGAGGAGGAGGAGGAGGAGGAGGGAGGAGGAGGAGCAGGAGGAGGAGGAGGGGGAGGAGAAGGAGGAGGAGGAGCAGAAGGAGGAGCAGGAGCAGGAGCAGGAGCAGGAGGAGGAGGAGGAGGAGGAGGAGGAGGACCCCCTCCCCCTCCTACTTCTTGTGGTGGCGGTGGAAAACGACCCCGCTATAGTACAAGGATGCCCTGCTGCGTTCCACTTGACCTCTCCGCCCCGCGCGCCCGGGGGCTGGCGAGGCGGCACTGGCGTGGGCGGCTTCCGCAAGGTCTACGGCGGGCAGAAGCGCCGCGGTGCCCCGGGGTCCCCCTTCCGGGCCGGCTCTCGCCCCCGCCGCGTCTCTCGCTGGCGAGGGGGTCCCCAGACCCCGTCGGGCAACGAAAAAATCGTGGTGGGAGGTTTTTCCATGTCTTCGGCCTTTGGAGGCCCTTGCCGGCCCTCGGGACCGTCAAAAAAACGACTCGGGAGGAAAAACCGGTCCAAGGGAATGGGTCGAGACTTCTCAGGGTCGACGTTCTCGGGGGCGGCCAAGAGGGGGGTGATGACAAGGGTAGGGGGGAACTCATGGTGGGGGCCATGATATCTCCCAGATTTCATGGCGCCTCTTCTTGTTTGATTGCGTTCCCCAGATTCGTTGTCCCGAGACTTCTCAACCCCCCCCTCCCCAGATTGCGTCCCCCCCCCCCCCAGGACGCGCACATGCCGCCGGCCATGAGTTGCGCCCCCCCTCTTGGACGCCCCCCTCTTGACCGCCCCCCGTTTTTGTGGAACAGTCATGACGTCGGGTGTCTGGGTCTGTCTGCTGCGGCTCAGGTCGGGCGGGCGGCAGCGGCGAGCGGAGGTGGCCCGGCAGTGGCTCCGGCCAGCAGGGAGGGGGCGCGGGTTCGGGGTTCTGGGTTCGAGGAGGTTTTTGTCCCAAGCATCCGGTGGAGGTGGAGGTGGGTCCTCGTGTAGAAGAGCCGGTCCCCGCGTCTCCCCCTCCTCTTCCTCCCCCTCTGATCCTCCTCTTCTTCTTGCTGTTATCCTCATTATGATTATTCGTATGGTTATTCTTACTAGTATTATTCGTACCATTCCCATGTTTCATACTTTTCTTCGTCTTCCTCCTCCTCCTCCTCCTCCTCCTCCTCCTACTCCTCCTCCTCCTCCTCCTCCTCCTCCTCCTCCTCCTCCTCCTCCTCCCCCCTCCCCCTCCTTATTGTTGCCTTCCGCTTCAGTCTACCATGTCGGCACACCGCTCACGCGTTCTGTGACCCCATGGGGAGCTCCGCCCAGGGCCCCAAAGATGGCGTTCGCATGGCGTCCCCGCCGCCAATTTCGGCACACCCTTGACAAGCTTCGTGGCCTCAGGGAGCTCCACCCAAGGCCCCAGTGGTGCCGTTGGCATGCGTCCCCGCCACCCATGTCGGCACACCTCTCACACGTTTCGTGGCTCCATAGGGAGCTCTACGTAAGGCCCCAACGGTGCCGTTCGCATGCGTCCCCGCCAACCATGTCGGCACACCCTCACACGCTTCTTGGCCCCATCGGGAGCTCCTCTAAAGGCCACAATGGTGCAGTTCGCATGCGTCCTCAGCACCCATTCCGACCCCCCCCACCACGCCCCACACACGTTTCGTGGCTCCATGGGGAACCCCGCCGAATGCCCCAGTGGAGATGTTCGCATGCTCCCCCGCCAACCGATTCGGCACTCCCCTCAAACGTTTCGTGACCCCTATAGGGAGCTTCATCGAAAGCCCTGGTGGCGGTGTTCGCATAGGTCCTCGCACCCGATTCGGCACACCCTTCGTACGTTTCGTGGCTCCATAGGGAGCTCCACCGAAGGCTCCAGTAGTGGTGTTCGCATGCGTCCTCGAACCCGATTCGGCACACCCCTCACACGCTTCGCGGCCCCATAGGAATCTCCATCGAAGGCCCCAGTGCAGGTGATCGCATGCGTCCCCGCACCCGATTCGGCACACCACTTGCACGTTTCGTGGCTCCAGAGGGAGCTTCACCGACGGTGCCAGTGGCACCGTTGTTCGCATGCGTCCTCTTTACCAACTTCGGCACACCCCTCATACGCTTCGTGGCCCCATAGGGAGCTCCACCGAAGGCCCCAGTGGCGGTGTTCGCATGCGCCCTCGCCTCCCATTTCGGCACACCCCTCACACGCTTCGTGGCCCCATAGGGCGTATCAACTGAGGCCTCCGTGGCACAGTTCGTATGTTGTCCAGACGGCTCCCATTACAGCACCCTCGTGTACGTTTCGTGTCCCAAGAAGGCGCTTCACCGAAACCGGTATTCACAACGCGGTATTCACAATTTCACATGGTTGGGTTTGTAGTCTGGAGAATTTGTCCAACCACCCTGTGGTGCTACGTCTTCGTTTGGAGGAGAGGGAGATGGAGAGAGAGAGAGAGAGAGAGAAAGAGAGAAAGGGAGAGAGAGAGAGAGAGAGCGAGAGAGAGAGAGAGAGAGACAGAGCAACAGAGACAGAGACAGAGAAAGATAATGAGAGAGAGAGAGAGAGAAACATAAAACACATGTCCTGGCGAAGAACCCAACCAGATGCAGTTGTGGGTACCTCAATTGTGAATATCTTCTTCGGTAAAGCTCCCTATGGGGCCACGAACCGCTGCACTGGGTGGGGGGGAACGCATGCGGGCGGTAGCACTGGGGCCGTCGGTGGAGCTCCCTATGGGGCCACGAAACGCTGTACTGGGTGGGTGAAATCCCGAATTGGATATGTGGGACGCATGCGGACGGTCCCACTGCGGGCTTCGGTGGAGCTCCCTATGAGGCCACGAAACGCTTTACTGGGTGGGTGAAAATGTCAAATTGGGCTTCCGGGACGCATGCCGACGGGCCACTGGGGGCTTCGGTGGAGCTCCTTATGGCGCCATGAAACGTTGTACTGGGTGGGTGAAAGTGTCACTGGGGGCTTCGGTGGAGCTTCGTATGAGGTCACGAAGCGCAGTACTGGGTGGGTTGAAAATGCCAAATTGGATGTGCGGGACGCACGCGGACGGTCCCACTGGGGGCTTCGGTGGAGCGCCACGAAACGCTGTATTGGGTGGGTGAAACTGCCAAATTGGGTGTGTGGTACGCATGTGGGCGGTCCCACTGGGGGCTTCAGTGGAGCTCTTTATGGGGCCACCAAGCGCTGTACTGGGTGGCTGAAAATGTCAAATTGCGTGTGCGGGGCGCATGCGGGCGGTCCCACTGGGGGCTTTGGTGGAGCTTCGTATGGGGCCACGAAACTTTATAGTGGGTGGGTGAAACTGCCTGGCGGACGCATGTGGCCCCCCCACTGGGGCAGCAGATGGAGCTCCTTATGGGACCACGAAACGTTGTACTGGGTGTGGCGGACGCATGTGGCCACCCCCACTGGGGCCGTCGGTGGAGCTCCCTATGGGGCCACGAAGCGCTGTACTGGGTGTGGCAGACGCATGAGGCCACCCCCACAGGGGCAGCAGGTGGAGCCCCATTATGGGGCCACGAAGCGCTGTATTGGGTGTGGTGGGCGCATGTGGCCACCTCCACTGGGACCTTGGGTGGAGCTCCCTATGGGGCAACGAAGCGCTGTACTGGGTGTGGCGGACGCATGTGGCCACCTCCACTGTGACCTTGGGTAGGGCCATTTTTGGGTCTGCGAAACGCTGTACCGGGTGTGGCGGGCGCACGTGGCTTCACTCACTGGGCCATTAGGTGGAGCTCCTTATGGGGCCACGGAGCGCTGTACTGGGTGTGGCGGACGCATGTGGCCACCCCTGCTGTGGCCTTCTGTGGAGCTCCCTATGGGGGCCACGAAGCGCTGTACTGGGTGTGGTGGACGCATGTGGCCAACCCCGCTGGGGGGGGGCACGCACGGGAGGAGACGCGGGGACCGTTTCTTCAAAGACGGACCCAACGCCACAGGATGGTTGGGAATAAGCCTGGCGAAGGACCCAGCCATATTCATTTGTGAATACGGCAATTGTGCTGGGTGGTGGCGGACGCGTGCTTGCGGTGCCACTGGGACCTTCGGTGGACCTCCCTATGAGGCCACGATGCGCTGTATTGGGCGGGCGAAGCGCAGGGAGCAAGGGCTGTGCTGGGTGGTGGCGGACGCATGCGGGCGGTGCCACTGGGGTCTTCGGTGTGGCCCCCATTTTGGGGCCACGAAGCGCTGTACTGGGTGGGTGAAACGCAGGGAGCAAGGCTGTGCTGGGTGGTGGCGGACGCATGCGGGCGGTGGGGTGCCACTGGGGTCTTCGTGGAGCTCCTTATGGGGCCACGACCCGCTGTAGTGGGTGGGCGAAACGCATGGGGCAAGGGCTGTGCTGGGTGGTTGCGGACGCATGCGGGCGGTGCCATTGTGACCTTCGGTGGAGCTCCTTATGGGGCCACGAAACGCTGTATTGGGTGGGTGAAACGCAGGGAACAAGGGCTGTGCTGGGTTGTGGCGGACGCATGCGGGCGGTGCCACTGGGACCTTCGGTACGTACGTACGTAGAAGCCGTGCCATGACGGCACTACGGCAACAGTGCGATTAGTCAGAGTGAAACAGCATACTGTCGTACAGCGGCTTTGGTGGAACCCCCATATGGGGCCACGAAGCGCTGTACTGGGTGGGTGAACCGCAGGGAGGAGGGATGAGGGGGAGGAGGGAGGGGGATGAGGAGGAGAGGAGGAGGAAGAGGAGGAGGGACGCGGGGACCGTCTCTTCAAAACGAGGACCCAACACCACAGGATGGTTGGGAAAGAGCGAGGGAGAGAGGGAGAGCGAATGCGAGAGAGACACAGAAAGAGAGAGAGAGAGAGACAGAGAGAGAGGCAGAGAGAGAGAGAGAGAGAGAGAAAAGGAGAGAACGAGAGCGCCCCGCGTTTCCTTCCTCCTCCCGCTGCTCCCCCCTCACTCCCATGTTACCACAGCGCTCACACGTCTCGTGGCCCCATAGGGACTTCCACCGAAGGCCCCAATGGCGGTGCGCGCATACGTCCCCGCCTACCGATTCGGCACACCCTTCACACACCTCGTGGCCCCATAGGGCGCTCCATCAAATTCCCCAATGGCGGTGTTTTCATGCGTCCCCGCACCCGATTCGGCACACCTTTCACACGTTTCGTGGCCCCATAGGGAGCTCTGCCGACGGCCCCCGATGGCGGTGTTCGCATGCGCCCCCGCCACCCACTCGGCACACCCCTTACACTCTTCGTGGCCCAAGATGGAGCCTTGCCGTGGGCCCCAGTGGTGGTGTTAGCGTGCGCCCTCGCCACCCATTTTGGCACACCCCTCATACGTTTCGTGGTCCCATATGAAGTCCCACCG